GATGAGTTGTATCATGGCTCTGCTTGCGGCCTTCGGAGCATTTCAGGGGCACAGTTCAGAGAGGGGAACCTAGGCAGAACCCCAGAGACTCCCTAAAGTGAGCAAGTAAAGCTATGAGGTTGGGGGGCAAGGCATCTATGCAGAGAACAGGGGATGGGAGGGGGCATAGAGAACTCCAGAGATCTGCAGACACTCCCCCTTGAGTACTCCCCTGTGCACTGATCAGTGAGTGGGGGTTGGAGGGGACTATCTGAAGCTAGAGAGATAACCACTTGAAAGGACTAGAAATAACAATGCCTAGTATTCACCAGGGCTCAGGAACAGTGCCTGTTTCCATCAGCCAGATTGGGAAAAACCCAAGACTCACAGAGCACTGGGTAGCATGTTCAGAAAGGTCTTGTCTCAGGCGGGGCACTTGGGTGGCTCAGTCCATTAAGCGTCTGCCTTAAGCTCAGGTCATGATCCCAGAGTCCTAGGATCAAGTCTCACCAAGTCCAGCTTCCGGCTCCCTTCACCCTCTGCCCATCCCCCTTGCTCATGCTCTCTCTCTCTCTAATAAATAAATAAAATCTAAAGGAAGGAAGGTCGGTCTTCTCTCAGCAACAGGAAAAAACTGTTCCTAGACTTAGAAGTGTTCCAGTCCTAACAGCTCTTTAAAGCGAGCCCTGAGAATATCCATTTCTAAGTAATTTCGCTGCATCCCAAATAAAGCTTGAGAAAATTTCTAGTAAAATATCAAACATCTAGGTAAAAGTCACAGTGTCTGGTATCCAATCAAAGAATACCCAGCACTCAAGGAGCATGAAGATACAATGCATAATGAGAATAATCAGTCAATCCAAAGCAACCCAGAACTGACACAGGTGTTAAAAATCACTGGGAGGTGGGGCGCCTGGGTGGCTCAATGGGTTAAAGCCTCTGCCTTCGGCTCAGGTCATGGTGTCAGGGTCCTGGAATCGAGCCCCGCATAGGCTCTCTGCTCAGCGGGGAACCTGCTTCCTCCTCTCTCTCTGACTGTCACTCTGACTACTTGTAATCTCTGTCTATCAAATAAATAAATAAAATCTTTTTTAAAAATCACTGGCAGGATTATTTTAACTGTTAGTTATAAATAGAGGCTCAAAACTTAAGTGGAGATATTGAAGCTGTAAAAAGACACAAATCAAACAGCTAGATATAAAAACTACCATGTGTGAGATAAACAAAAGACAATGACTGATAGGATTAACACTATGTTAAACATGGTGGAAGGAAGAGACAGATGAACTTAAAGACATGACAATTAAAAAAAAAAATTGCCAGAATGAAACACAGAGAGAAGAGAGAGTATGAAAACATAGAACACAGTGGGCTCACGGCACTTCCACAAGGGAGAGGTGTGGTGTGGGAGAAACAAAAATATTTAAAGAAATAGTGGCCTGGGGCGCCTGGGTGACTCAGTGGGTTAAAGCCTCTGCCTTCGGCTCGGGTCATGATCCCAGGGTCCTGGGATCGAGCCCCGCGTCAGGCTCTCTGCTCAGCGGGGAGCCTGCTTCCTCCTCTCTCTCTGCCTGCCTCTCTGCCTATTTGTGATCTCTATCTGTCAAATAAATAAATAAATAAATCTTTAAAAAAAAAAGAAAGAAAGAAAGAAAAGAAATAATGGCCCAACATTTTTCCAAATTTAATAAAAACGATGGCCTCGGAGATCCTGGCAGCTCAATGAACGCGAAACAAATGAAACTGGACCAAGCACAACCTCAGGAAATGGCTCCAAACCAATGACAATGTGAAGGGAAGGGTGACAGTAGATGCCTCATCAGAAACAAGGTGAGAGCCGATCTCAGCTGAGGTCAACAGGACGACGCCATGCCTTCTAGCTTCAGCTCCCATAGGGTCACCTGTGTCCTGCTCCCTGTCTATCGTGTGCTGTATTGTTCCATTTTTGTGCGCTTTTTTTTTTTTGCTGCTGCTGCTGATTTTGCTGTTTAAAACGATCCCCAAGCATATTTCTTAGGGGCTGTCTCGGGTCGCTAAGGACTCCGGGCTGTGATGTGCGTCGCAGAGAAAAGACATGTTAGGTGAGCTTCATGCAGGCACGAATGACCCTTCTGTGGGCCCTGAGTTCAAGGATAGTGAATCAACAGAGTGTGTTAAATGAGGTGTCTTTAGCCAGAAACCAACAGAAAATAAAGTCACATATTGACCCCCTGATGACAAAAGTTGTGTGGCAAGACTCCTGTGAATCTCCTTCTGCATTTCCCTGAGGACCGGTTGTTAGGTATTTGCTAGTTCAGTGCTCATGGCTACTTAATAGAACATAAAAACCAAAAAAAAAGGAAGAAAAAAGAAAGCCACGTTATTTTTAGCAACTGGGTTTGGGGTGGTTGGTTAGGCAGCAATAGGGAACTGAAACCCTTATTGAAACTCTTGTCCCATGTTGGTCTGGCCAAGTGTCTCCGATGGGGTTCCCCGGGAGCAGGAACTGTAGCCGAGGGTCTGTGTGGAGGAGGGCTCTCGGGAGATACGCGGGGAAGGGAGCAAGGGAGGCAGAACTGGGCAATGGGCGAAGCTGAGCTACAGTGCATTTGCAACTGAGTCTCAACTGATCCTCCAAGCAGCCCCGACAAGTTGGCCCCAAGTGAGGCAAGAAGGCCAAGCACCTGCCCTGGGCTGCACCTGTACAAAGCCGGGATCCTGAGTGTGTCCGTTCCCACGGCCAAGTGCAGCTTTTGTGAGGGCTGAAGCTGCGGCGGTATTTTCTGGAGCTGGGAGAATGACGTAATTTCTCTGCAAGAGGGGTGGGGGGGGTGGCAACACCACCTGTCCCCCAGGGGTACCACTTCTGGTTGGCTCTTGAGTCCTTCTGACATGATCCTGGCCATTTGGATGACTTCCTTGCTATCTGGTTCAACACGACATTTCCGTCTCCTCGGAAGACGTCTCCTCCTCCTGCCCCACCCCTGGACGTTTTGCAGACCGTTTTCCCAAGAGGCACTGATTTCTTTGGGATCCCCCACGGTCTTGTATTTCAAGACCGTGATCTGGGCCCTAGGAATGGTCATTGCTAGATGTAGCTTTCTTCTTATGACCAGAAACCCCCAGCGCTATTTGTTTTGTTTCTTCTTAAAGTCTAATATTTTCAGGAGAACTCATTGCTTGCCCCTCGACCTCCTTCTTTGCCCATGTCATCTATGTCTTTCAGAGGCTCTGCCCAGCCACCAAGCCCCTGACCTGAGTAAGGGTCATCCTACTGACAGGCTCTCCCCTCCCGCCTGCAGTCCCCATCTTCTTCATGGCCGCAGCCCAGTGCCTGTTCACAAAAGGTATTCCAGGAATATTGGTCGGGAAGACAAAAAGTGGCTGCCACTTACTTGGCAGTTGGCGCCCCGCTCTTGGGGAGGCTCTGCCTAGCTTTTCAGACAGCCAGAGGCAGATCCTCAGGAACTAAGCCATGGGACTAAATTCCTGTCTCCGTCCCCAGCAAGAACCACGGTCTAATATCAGCATGCCATAGGGCATCCCATCTGGACCATAAATTTCCAGAGCTATATGTTCCTACAGCCACGGCTGTGACTCTGGGCTGGGATTCCCTCTTTGCCTTTACTGCCTTTACTGCCTTTACTGAATTTAGCTGTAACTAGCTGGGGTTTGCAAAGCAGAGTGTCCCACTCGGTCCTCCCTCAGACAGCAGGTGGGACGATCGCAGACTGCCCACTGAGGTCCTGGATAACTGGGAGCTTTAGCACTGAGCATTTGGAAGGACGGGTGGGCAAGAGAGGCTGGGGGAGAATCAGCAGCCAGTACCAGATGACTGTGGGACGCAAGACCTGGTGATTGGGAAAAAGAAACTGTACACACACACACACACACACACACACACACATATGAGCCAGGCCCTCCCACCTACCTTTTCCTTGTGGGGAGCTCTTTGGGCTCAGGGGTCCTGACACCCAGCCCATAGTGTCTCCTCAAGGCATGTCCATCACAGGGCAGCAAGGGGAGGCACGAAGCTGTGTGAGTGGGCCACACCCCCGTCTCTGTCCTTTTGCCCCTGCCACCCCGCTCCCGACTGCAGAGGCTGCCACACTCAACTACAATACTTCCATCCACAGAGATGTTGGTGGCTCTAACAGGAGGACAGGCAGAAGGACCCACTGGCTAAGGCCATCCACCAGATCTGTATCAAGGTAGACAAATGCCCCACCTCTGACTCTAGAATTCTAGAGTTTACTGGATGCCAGAAAGTGCGTTCTAAGCAACATACTTCTCTACAGAGTATATCATAGGCAAGCCCACAACTTTCAGGAGACCAGAACTTAGAGTGAACGGGAACACACTCCAAACATTTATTCAGTTGACATCAAAGATCTCCATACTCCTTAATGCCTCCACATGGCTTGGGCTGAGCCTGGATGGGGCCACTAGGGACTGAGGAAGGGGGGCCCACCGAGGGATTGCTCCAGGATGTGGCAGGATCTGCGCTGGATGCTAGGGAAACATCTCCCAGCCCCAGATGCTCCAGTCCCATGTGGAAACCCCAGGCCTCACACCTCAGCAGGGACATGGAGACACCTCCTCCCTCTCTCTCTCTCTGCACAATCAGCAAGCTGACTGCTTCAACACAGGGTCAGGTGACAGCCTGAGACCACACCCAGGTCCCATGCTGTCTCACTGCTCATGAGGGGTCTTCTCTCGCAGAGGCTCTCCAAGATGACAAGGAAGCCCCGCGCTCCCCCTGGCAGGTCGGCCGGCTCTCAGCCTGGGGGATGTCTGACCCCCTCCTTCCAGGTGGGCAGGGCACAGCCAAGGTCGTGTGTGTGGCCTTGGCAGGTGACTGGGGCATCAGACTGGGATGCTTTCGGGGCTCCAGCTTTGCTGCCAGTTCCTACTGTATGGCTCTCTACAGGGTCAGGGGATGCCAACCAGAACTGGAGGAAAGGGCATCTGAGCAGGAGTGGGAGGTCGGAGGAGAGGCCCGGTGTGAGATGCAGAAATAGGAGGGGAGTGGGCCGGGGTGATCACGGGGCCACCAGGATGCCCAGGGGCAGCACCAGGCACAGAAGTGGGAGGAAGCCTGCTGAGTCCCAAGAGCAAGCCTGACTCAAGCGATCAATGACCCAGTCCTTGTAGAAACTAACTTCTGTATAAATTCCGGGAAAATTTTTGCGACCACAGCCAATGCCCCAGCTCACAATCCCCACCTGGACCCATGTCTTATTAAGTTCACAGACCAGGGGCCCCCCAGAGTCTCCCTGGAGAAAAAGAAAGAAACAAACACAGGAATGGAAGAGAATCAACATCAGACCTGGCTGGTGGGGAGATGGGCACGCGAGGGCCTTCCCCGGGACTCCCCTCCCCCAGGCATCCACCAGCTCTAGGTTCCTGGGAATATCAGATTTGAGGGTTGAAAACTTTAGCAAACAAAATTCATATACGTATGCAAAAAATCATGTACCCCAAAAATGGAATATAACCAAAGAAAACGTCTGTTGAACTAATCATAATGAACAAAGTCTTTAACTGAGCACACTGCCTGTCACACAGAAGGGGTACAAAACATGTGATTTGCATTTTTGGTAAATTTCTGCCTGAATCTCCCCTCCTCTCCCAACCCCCTCTAAGCAGGCCAGCCAGCTGAGCCTTCGGCATTTTTCCCCCTTGAAACCCCCAGATGTGAATTAAGGGTGAATGAAGGGGCCAGCGGATCCCACAGACCCCGAAGCCTGCAAATGAGGAAATTGTGAGGGGACAACAAGGTGGCAAGACAGCCAAGGGCCCATGAACTGACCTGGCAGGCATCCTTTCCTTGGGTACTGTAACCACAGACCATCCCTTCCTTGACTAGGTCGCTGCTAGTTTCCATCTCTGTTTGGAGCATCGTGTTACATTTCTCATAACGGACAATGTTTAGCTCAGCCTCCCGTAGCCGTTTCACAACTCCTCCGGGTTGATCTGTGGAAATAATTAGGAGCAGAGAGATCTGCCTAATGGAACAGAACAGGAGCCCCCGGCACCCACTCTTGGTCTCGATGCAGTGCGTCCACCTAGAGACACCCCACTAGGGAAGTGAATATGGTCCCCATTTGACACGGGAAGCAATGAGGCCCGAAGCTGATGTCAGGGAGAGGAGGAGGTAGGACTCAAAACCAAGGCAGGCGAAGGAAGAACAGATCAGGACAGGAAGAGGTGAGGCCTTACCAGCCCTGAGAAATCAAAACCAACTCTCTGTCCCTCTGAGTATCTTTAGGAATCATGACAGTTGTCCTGTCCATCGCAAAGTGGCTTTATTTTTGAGCAGGATCATAAATTCTTGGACAAGAAGTGTCCCAAAGGTACCAAATCCAACCTCTCGCCAGGGATGGAAAGCCCAACAACCTCGCCAAGAGGAGTTCTCTGGGCTCTTTTCACTCACAGGAAGCTCCCCGTCCACCAAGGGGAGGACTTCCAGTTGGGACAGCTCCCGTGGGCAGAGAGAGCAACACCAGCACCCCCTGCGCTAAAATCCACCCTAGAGAGAACCCGTTTTGCTCATCACCTGAAACCCCAGGTCCTGAAATTCTAATCAAAATGTGGACCAACAAATGATTCCCAGCCGGCATCTTCTCCCCCCCTCCTCCCTCACTCACTTGCTAAAAATGGCCTCCCTGCCTCCCCCTTGAGCTTGCAGGCCAACCGCTGGGCACGAGGCAGCCCCTTGCCTGGCCCGAGCTTCACGTCTTGCTTCAGTCTTACCTGCTTCGTTGAGCTTCCCCCATCCAGTCACCCAGCACTCAGTACCACCTTGTACCATGAACGCCTTTTTGGGGAGGCACACAGGCTGCACGTGGGAGGAAAAATTCACAGGGAACTCAAGCAGAGCAAGGGCAATGTCATTCTCAATTAATCCGATAGGATTGTAATCTTGATGAATAACGATGTCTTGGACGGGGATCTCGATGGCCATACTGGAGGTACGCTCCTCCATGAAGATGTCTCCCAGCTTTGCCGTGTACTCCACATGGCTGCAGAAAGATCCTAGGGCTCTACCCTCCCCTTCCACATCTTCTGGGCCTTCCCAGCCTGGGCCTCTCTCCACCAACCACTGCCCTCCCCCCACCACCACAGCCCATCCCGGGACCCCTGGTCAGTCTACCCAGTGGTGCTCCAACTCTGGTTCCCTGGTGAGGAGCATCCGTGTTAGAGAGGCAGGTGCTCAGATCCCACTCTGGTCTGTACCAGAGACGGGCTGTTGAGGACCCGCAATCTGTGTTTTCACAAACTCTGCTGGTTTATCCATGCTTGGAAGTTTAAGCCCACCAATCTAGCCATATTGGTTTACTGCACTCCCCATTTCTTAAATATTCCCCCTTGCCCACACACTGGCTTGAAGCTAATCAGCACAAGCTTTGAACCCAGTTTGGGGTCTTAATCTTTCAGGCTACCAAGGGCCCTACCGTCACCTCCCATCGACCGCAGCCTGAAGGGCAGGATCTATGACCCTTCTTCTTCAGATGAGGGAAAGGAAGCTCAGGGAAGGGGACAGGACTGGCTCCAGGTCATAGAGCCCCAGACACTCACCCAAATATGCAGTGGGCGGCGGTCAGCACCCACCGACTGGCAATGAGGGAGCCTCCACACATGTGTCTGTCATTGATCTGCAGGCTCACCTGCCAAGGCCACTTCCCCTCTGCCGCAGGAAATCCACCCACTATCCTCATGGACCTCCGGCCGCATCCTGCGCAGGTCAGTGAAGGGAGGGGACCGAAAGTAAAGCCACTGACCGCACCACCCACAGAGCCGGGATAATGCTCAGAAGCCTAGAACCCTCAAAGCAAGGCCATGTCCCCTCAGAGCCCCCACCCCACCCCCAAAGCAGCTCTGTATCCCCTAAGGCTCCTCAGAGAAAGGCCACGTGTCCCCAGCCGAGCTCAAGCGCAGGGTTGGGGCCACTCCGACCCCCCACCCCCACTCCACCGGGAAAAGCCATCTCCCAGAGCAGGGTCCCGTCCCCCTCGGCCCCCTCGGTCCCCTCGGCCCCCTCGGCCCCGGCCAGTTCTCCGCGGCCCAGAAACATCACCTGCAGGAAACAGTGGCTTCGCGGTGGCCACAGCCCTGTACGAGCCAGAGGCACCTGGGGTGACCGCCACCACTTGGGAGGATGCGGCAGCCTCTTGGGGCCCCGGGGTCGCAGACTGTCCCTCAGCCCCCCACACGCTCGCGCCGGGGACCTCGTGGCCGCCCCCCGAGGACGACGGGGAGGTGGGCGCCGAGGAGGGTGGGGGCGACGCGGACCCGCTCTGCGCCCCACCGAGCCAGGGCTGGAGGAGCAGCAGCCAGAGCAGGAGGCCCGGGGAGCCGCCGCCCGGGGACGCCATGGACCCGCCACGCCGCGCCTCTCGCCGCGCCCCCTCGCGGCGGCCCGCGGCCCTGCACTCGCGCAGGCGGGAAACCGGGTCCCGCCGCGCCCCCTGGGGGGCCTGACCGTCGGGGAGGCTTTCCGTCCCCGCGACCCACCGCCCCCCTCCTCCCGCCCGCTCGCCGCAGGATTGGGCCTGCTTCGCGGACTTCGGACCGCTGCCCCGGGCGGCACCGACCGCTGCCTTGAAGACGACACTGCCCCTCCGCGGGGACAGAGCCCAGAGCCGAGGGCAAACGCAAACCACAGTGAGATCTCAGGACGGGCGGGAACAGACTGGAGAGGAGAAACAATCGCGACAACACCCCGGACTGACGCGGGTGCAGCGGTCCTGCATCACCCAGACGCTGTGGTAGGAAAGTAAAATACTACAGCTTCTCCAGCAGACAGACTGGCAGTTTCTTATAAAACAAAATATGCCATTATGGTACGACTCAGTCATTGCATTCCTGGACACTGACCCCAGAGAAGTAAATCTATACACACACACACACACACACACACACACACACACACACACACCCCTGTACGAATGATTTTAGTAGCTTTGTTCTGAATAGCCAACATCTGGAAACACCCTTATAGTAGACAGAACACTGCCATCCCAAAGATGTCCGTATTCTAATCCCTGGAACCTGTGAATATGTTACTTTACATGGCAAAAGGAACGTGAATAAATGAAAACTTTTTTTTCCTAATATTTTATTTATTTATTTGACAGACAGAAATCACAAGCAGACAAAGAGGCAGGCAGGGGGCGGGGGGAAGCAGGCTCCCTGCTGAGCAGAGAGCCCAATGAGGGGCTTGATCCCAGGACCCTGGGATCATGACCTGAGCTGAAGGCAGAGGCTTTAACCCACTGAGCAACCCAGGCGCCCTCATGTTTTCTTTTAAATCCTTGAGCAAATTTAGAATACTAATACCAGGTGTTTTATTAACTTTTTAAGATTTTATTTATTTATTTTTAGAGAGAGAGTACGAGAATGGGAATGTGTGAGCCGGAGGCAGGGTAGAGGGAGGAGGAGAGAATCTCAAACAGACTTCATGCTGAGCTCATAGCCCGCCCCAGGGGCTCCATCCCTGGACCCTGAGCTTATGACCTGAGCAGAAACCAAGAGTTGGATGCTTAACCGAGTGAACCATCCAGGCACCCCATTAACAGGTGTTTTAAAGTTCTTGTCTACTATTTCTGTATTTGTTTCTATTGATGGGTTTACCTCTTTGTTATAGGTCTAGTAATTTTTAATGAATGCTGAACACTATTAATGTTACATTGTTGACTATTTGACTTGTATGTTCTTTAAGGAGTGTGGAAATTTGGCAGGGAGGTAAGTTACTTGTAGTTCATCGTGGTCCATTTGAAGTTTTTTGTTGTTGTTGTTGTTTTTAATGTTCAGTTAGCCAACATATTACATCATTAGTTTTTGTTGTAGTGTTCAACGATTCATTAGTTGAGCATGACACCCAATGCGCATCACAAGACATGCCCTCCTTAATACCCATCACCCGGAGTTGGTTTTTAAGCTTTGTTAGGATGAGTCTAGAATAGCCTTTATTCTTGGACTACCTTACCTTAATACTAAGGTGTGAGCCTTGTGACGTCTCTACTGATTGCCTGAGTATTGGGTGAGGTCCTTCCTCTCTGGATGGATGAAACTTGAATCTCCCAGCACTGTGTGAGCTCTCTGAGCCGTTCATCCTGTACTCCCCACCGCCCCACCCCCACCTGTCCCTTGCCAGTTGTTCTTTGCCTTGCCTCTTGGAAATGTAACCTATGTGTGCGTGGATTAGTATTCAGCCAAAGACTGAAGAGGGTATTCTGCAAAATTCTGGAGTTGTTTCTCTGCGTATCTCCATCCTGTACAGCAGGAATCGGCAAACTTGCCCTATAAAAGACAGTAAATATTTTAAGCATTGCAGGCCACATGTGGACTCTGTCATATATGCGTTTTAAAAAGCAACTCTTGGGGCGCCTGGGTGGCTCAGTCAGTTAAGCATCTGCTTTCAGCTCAGGTCATACTCCCAGGATCCTGGGATAGAGTCCCGCCATTAGGCTCCCTGCTCAGCAGGGAATCTGCTTCTCCCTCTTCCTCTGCCTCTCCCTCTGCCTGCTGCTCTGCTTGCCTGTGCTCTCTCTCCCTTTCACTCTGTCAAATAAATAAAATATTTTTTAAATAAAAATAAAAAACAACTCTTTAAAACTGTGTAAATCATTTGGGGCGCCTGGGTGGCTCAGTGGGTTGAAGTCTCTGCCTTGAGCTCAGGTCATGATCTCAGGGTCCTGGGATTGAGCCGTGCATCGGGCTCTCTGCTCAGCAGGGAGCCTGCTTCCCTTCCTCTCTCTCTGCCTGCCTCTCTGATTACTTGTGATTTCTGTCTGTCAAATAAATAAATAAATAAATAAATTCTTTTTTTTTAATTAAAAAAAATTTTTTTAAAACTGTGTAAATCATTCTTAGTCCTATACAAAAACAGCCTGTGTCTGGAATTAGCCCACAAACCATAGCACGCTAAGCCCTGCTCTACAGGATTCTGACCTGGAAACTCCAGATGCCTGGCCCTCCTGAGCCCCAGTCTGTCTCCTTAACTTAGTGTTATCATTGTGTTCTGTTTGGGTTTCCCTGTTTCATGTGAAAATTGCCTCTGCTTAGGAAGCCAGGATGACTGTAGTGTTCAACTCACTTGTTGCCCTTCTCCCTAGGGTCCTCGTCCTACATTGTCATACAATGCCAACTCTTAACAACTCTAGTTTTCCAAAAAAGCAGAACAACCAGTTTTCCATATATACAATCGGTGGATTTTCACTTTTGATTAAGAGTAACTCCACATCACTGTATATCTTTTGAATTACCTGTGTCACCTGCAAGAGTTATGACCTTGGATGTCAACGATTCATGTGTAAATGTATCTGTCACTAATTCGTGTGTAAATGTATTTTTAATTCATAATGCCAGTTTTCAGATTAATTTTACCAAACCACACTCCCACCGTCAGTAGATGAGTCTTTCTATTAATCTCCACTCGTCCCAACAGTTATTGCCACAGTTCTGTTTTTCCCCACATGGTGGGCATAAAATTATATCTTGCTATGGCTCTAATTTGCATTTCCCTGGAGTAAACGTTCATATCTTTCCTGGCCATTTGTGCTGTCTTTTTATAAAATGTTTGTAACATCCGCCCAATTTTATATTTGGATTGCTTTTGAAATACTTCTTATTGAGGTTTTTTTTTTTAATGCATGCTAATCCTTTGTTGGTAAATGCAATGCTCCAAATATTATTTCACAATCATAAACTTGTCTTTTCACTTTATTATATCTTTTTCTTTATCACTTATGCTTTTTGTGTCTGCTTTTAAGAAGCTTTCCCTAGGGTCGCCTAGGTGGCTCGGTCAGTTGAGCATCTGCCTTCTGCTCAGGTCATGATCCCAGGGTCCCAGGGTCAAACCCCACACTGGGCTCCCCACTCAGTGGTGAGTCTGCTTCTCGCTCTGACCCTCCCCCCTCTCTTGTTCTCTCTCTCTCAAATAAATAAAATCTTTTTTTAAAAGCCTTCCCTATTCTGAGGTCTTAAAGATATTGTCCTGTATTTTCTTCTAGAAGCTTTAAAGTTTTGTTTTTTATGTTTTGTCTTTTAGCCAAGTATTTTTTTGTTTATAGTGAGAAAGGAATTCAGTTTTATTTATTTCCCATTTAACCTTTTATCTCAGCATCATGTACTGAACGGCCCATTGTTTTTTTAATTAAAGTATAGTTAACATATTCTTAACTACTAGAGATTTTGAGTAGCAGTACATGACAGGATGCATTCTCCCATCTCGACTTCTTCTTTAGGGTTTTGGCTCTTTTTGGTACTCCATATAAACTTTAGGATAAGTTTGACAATTTTATTTTTAAACTGCTGAAAGTTCTATTCAAATATGCATTGAATCTAAAGAGCATTTGGACATCTGCGTGGTATTGAGCCTCCTTACTCATGAATTTGGTGCATCTCTATTTAGGTCTTCCTTCACGTCCTTCAATAAAATTTCATAAATTTTCCCACAAAGTCACACACATCTTTCAGAAACACAATTTTACATTATTCTCCTAGTCAACAATCTTATCAAACTGTTTTATCAGTTTTGATAATTCATAGATTCTTTGGGAGTTTCTATATTGAAAAAAGAAAACTTACAAATTAGAAGTTACTATTTGACACAGTCATGCTTTTAAATATTTGTTATTACTTGTTTCTTTACTCACTGTATTCATTAGGATACAGGCTAAGGTGTGGTAACAGAGATGTCCCAATATGCAGTGGTTAAAAAACAAAAAGTTTCTCTCTTACTTCACAGTCTAAACGTAGGCAGCCAAGTCCAGTTCTGCCACGCTTCACCCGGGCACACCTCTCAACCTCCAAAATGGCATCCCCATCTTTCTCCTCTTCCAATTTAGAAAGGGGAAAGAGCCAAAAACTATACTCGTGTCCCTTTGAAGGACATCCCCCCAACAGCACATACTTCTACTTACCTCTCATGGAACATAACTTAAATCCATGGTCACCCTAAGCTTCAGGGGAAGCTGAGAATGGCAGTTTTTAGGTGCATAGGCACCCAGATCTCCTGGGATCCACTCTACCTATTTGGTGTACCTACCTGCCAACTGCTCTGGGCATTGTTACTAGGAATTCACACCTGCATCCTTCTTAGAAGGCTTCCCCTAGAGCACATGGAGCCACAGGACAGAAGGTGATGAGGAGTTGCATTCCTTCCTCCCACCCCTCCAGTCAGCCTACAGCCAAAGACAGAGTGGGGCAGGGCAGGAAAACCCAGCTCCCTTGCCTTAAGTCTGGATGAATTCTAGAACATAGATGCCAGGATCTTGCTCAGCCTAGACTTCACCTGTAATCACATTCTTAGTAAATTTCTTGCCCTTTCCTATCCTGCTTCCCTCTCACATCCCTATAGGTTTTTCCTGAA